AAAACAATCACTTTGCTGTACACCAGAAACTAATACAACACTTTAAATCAACTATATTTCAATAAAAAAATCTATCCCTTCAAACTTAGAACCCTGCATCTTAAATTCTTAAAACTTAATAATCTCAGCTATATTTCTGAGCTATATGCTGTTTACATCATCTCATTTAATCCTCTTCTACTTTTATCATGGTAAAATACACATACCTTAAAGTTTACCATTTTAAAAGGTACAGTTCAGTGACATTTAATATATTCACAGCATTGTGCGCAAGCGTCAAATTCCAGAACAACTTCTTCACCCTAAAGGGAAACTCCATACCCAATAAGCAGTCACTCCTCCCAACCCCCCAGCCCCTGGCAACCACAAATCTGCTCTGGACCTTTTGTGTAAATGGAATCCTACATCACGATGATTGTAAAGGTGCCAAAAGTCAGCTAGGGATTAGGGCGGGGATATCTTTTTAGTGGGGGGAGGGGGGAGGGGGGCAGTATTCAGTTTACCACAGTTTCACTGAGGGAGAAAAATGTCTCTAACGCAGATAGTGATGACAGCCCCAGACCCTGATTACGTATATGTAGGGCCATATCGGATTATTTGGAAGGACACACACTAGATTGGTAAGTTGGTCACCTGGGGTGGGGGTGAGGGCAAGGATGGGGGAGATAAAGTCACCCTTGAGGCCCCGGGGGACTGACTTGCTCCTTCATATTCAGTCACAACAAAGAGTAGGCGGCTGTGTCTACGTCGTGCCCAGGGGTCTCTAAAGAACGAGAACTTATGAATGTGAGGCTACACGTGGCTCCCAGCGTGGGCCACACACCGGCTGTGCAACTTGGGTAAAGCCACTTAACCTCTCAGAGCCTCAGTTTCTTCAAGCATAAAATGGGCGCATTTTACACATCTCCTAGGGTTGGAGGGAGAATTAAAGGGGGTATTGCTTGCCTGGCCCACAGTCGGCTGTCTTATCATCATGGCTCATCCTCTTCTCCAGGCTGGGAGGAAAGCTGCTGGGTGTTAACATACTCTGCTCTAGCGAGGCCTCGGTCCTCAAGGCTGGCAGGGAAGAAGTGTCGCCCATCACTAGAAGGTGAGTTTCTGCAGCAGTGCCCGGCACACAGTAGGACCTCGTTACATATTTGTGGATGGAAAGACTGTGGGGGCTTCCGGGATTTGGGTTAGTCACTGCCGCCACTGGGCTGACCTGGGGGTGCTCCTCCCTGTTAGTGCAGGTGGTGGCCCTGGATGCGGGGACAGAGCCGAAGGGCTCTAGGATCCAGTTGCCCCTGTGATGCCAACCTGGGAGCCTCGGAGGGGCCTACTCGCCACAAGCCAGGGGTGAGCCCAAGGGTTCAGCTGTATTCTGAACAGGCGTGGGGCTGAGAGTAGGGGAGACAGACAGCTACAGAGCACCCCTGAGACCCAGAGCCCAGCCTGCAGAAGAGTCAGAAGTGGCCAGCCAGCTGTACACACCCCCAGAATTCCAGATGCCAGCACCTCAGGGACCCGGGTCCCTTCCCCCCATGACCCCAGGAGTCCCACACCACCTACGACCACAGGTCCATTTTCTGAGTCCTAGGTCTTCCAGCAAGCCTCAGCCACGGGCCGCTGGCTAATCTGGCAGAAGCCTGGGGCGATCTGGGGAAGTGGGGACAGAACAGAGGGAGACTTCCGAGGGCCTCGCATGCCCAACTCAGAGGAGACCCGTCCTGAAGAAGGCCCTGCTCGGCCTCTGCTGCCCCCTGGTGGCTGGAGACCAGCTGGCCCCAGGCTTCCGGCCCAGCCCAGGGCCACTGGGTAGCGCTGAGGGCTGGGAGGGGGAGGCGGCTGTAACCCAAAATGCTCGCATACCTGGTGTACCCGTATCCACACACCTGCCCAGATAAAGCAATCCACGTGCACATGCAAATAACCTTGCGTGCGTGTGTGCACGGATGTGCACATCCCACGTACACACACAGGTCCCCTACACACCAACCCCAGCTACATCTGCCTATGAGACGTACACGCCCACACGTGTGCACATGAACCCACGAGAGCCACCCAAACACAAACGATCGCGATGAGATTCGTGTCTTTTTTTTTTTTAAACATTTTCATGGGCTGTATGTTCACAAAGCTTTTAGTGTTTCCTGACCTCCATCATTCAAAAACTACTGCCATGATTTCTGCCTTCTCTGCACCTGCTTTAGACTGTTACTTACTTAACCTTTTAAACCGACTCGCTTTTTTTACTTCAATGTATTTTAAAAGGGAACTCCATATCTCCACTTTAAGTAGAAAAATACGCTTATCTAATACACTGCAAAGTAACACGGTTATTAAACTAAGGGACAGACCCTCTAGGTTTGGTTCTGCACACCCACCCCAGGGCACCTTTGCCACCTTTGGAGAACACTGCGTTATTTTGAGCCTCATGGCCCCTGTGGGGTGGACAGAGCAGTTTTTTATGTCCTAGGGGTCTATGTCTTGGAAGAGGGAGCAGGGGCTCAGCCTGGAGAGGCCCCAGGGCTCAAACCAGCTCTCCTGCCCTTGCGCCCTCTGCCCTTCCCTAGGGACGACCTCTCTGGCCTCATCCTGCCAACACCTCCCTGTCTGTCTCCAGCACCACCTAGATGCGGGTCTCCCAGTCAGCCCACACAAGGACTCTTACCCTCTGCAGCTCCCTGCAGCCCTCAGCCAACCCACCCCCTAGTCCTCCCTGACCCCAAATCCTCCCACCTGCCTTCTGTCGTCACTGGCACTCTCCTCCATGCCCTCGGCTCCTTGCTCTGACCCTGGATTTGAGGCCTGCCCCGCAGGTTCTCAGTGAGCAGTCCTCCCTCCTATACCCCTTGTGTGTAAATCGTTTCTCCTCCCTCCCCCTCATCCTGGAAAACTCCAGCTCCTTGAACTACAATCCATCAGACCACAGTGTTCCCTCCCTTATGACTCCTCCAATGGACCCCATCTCACTTTGACTAGAACCCACATTCCTTACGATGGCCTAGAAGGCCCTATATGATCTGTCCCCCCACTTTTGGATCCCTTCACCCACCACCCCCTTCACTCAACTTCAGCCGCCTGCCACCTTCTAAGGCATTGGCTATGCTGACCTTGTTCCTACCTCAGGACCTTTGCACTCGCCTTTCTACTTGGAAGACCCTTCCCCAAATCTTTGCTTGGTTTGCTTCAGCTCATCATTCCGGTGTCACCTCCTCAGAGGCCTTCCCTGACCACTGTCTAACCACTTGTCCTCCCCCAAACCCACTGCTAACTAGTGTCCCCCATCCCATTATTCTCTTTTCTTTCTATGTTTTTTCCCCAGTACTTGTCATTTTATGTCCACTTGTTTCCTTCTTTAGTCTCTGTCATCCTGCCAGGATGTAAGCTCCATGAGGGCAGGAACACCCGGTACCAGGAAGGTCCTGAGTGCGTAACTGTGAGTGTCGACCCCGTGACACGTGCCTGCCTGTGTGCTCTTCAGCCAGCTGTGTGGCAGGGAACGCAAGCTCCTGCCATGCCTGAGTACCACAGGCATCAGAGCGTCCGAGTCGGCTGCTGCCGGGCCACTGGGTACCACTGCGGGCAAAGCCACTCTCGGATGTGTCACGTCGGAGAGAGCTAGCCCCACCTCACTTCCTGCTCCCTGCACCGTTATATCCCACCCCTGCCACCCTAAGGACGTGCTTCCAGCGGAGGCTGCCTCTTCCCATTTCCCCAAGGCTGCCCAGCTCACTTCTGGAATGGGAAACCTTCTTTGTGAGGCACAGAGCAAAGCCTTATACCTTCTCTGGAGCTGCCCCCATATGCCTTTGGTCTCAAGCAGAGCCGGGGGGCACCTGATTCTGAACAAGGGACACAGCCTGCCTGGCAGCAACCCCACTCGTCAGTGTGGTGCACCAGGCTGAGGAGCAGGGCTCCTAACCTCCAGAGCTGGGGCCCTTTAGCAGTCAGGGCTCTAGCAGAGAAACAGAACCCATAGGAGATTATTCGCTTGTTTCTGTCTTTCAAGAAATGGGCTTACATGATTGTAGAGGCTGGCTAGGTGAGTCTGACATTGCAGGGCAGGCCGGCAGGCTGGAAACTCTTGAGAAGCTGATACTGCCACCCGCGGCCTTAACGGCTTCGTCCTCTGGAAACCTCAGTTTGTCTCTTCAGATCGTTCAGCTAGCTGGATGAGGCCAACTCAGATGCAGAGGATAATCTCCTTTACTTAAAGTCTACGGATTGTAGATGTTAATCACATCTGCAAAATAACCTCCCGGTAACACCTAGATTAGTGTTTGATTGAATGACTAGGCCTAGCCCAGTTCACCTTTTATCAGCTTGCTACCCAGGCACACGTCCTTAAACCACACTTAATCTCCAGATAAAGAAAATAACAAAGCCTTGCTTCCATCTAATGTGATGCAACTATCCTGTCTATAACCCAAAACACACAGATCCTTTCCCCAGAAGAGAATGCCAAGCCCTTGGGTGACAGTTACTCTTCTCTATGAGATCCTGTAACCTAAATCCTGTGATGTAGGGACTTCCCTGGTGGTCCAGTGGTTAAGACTCTGTGCTTCCACTGCAGGCGGCAGGGGTCGGGGAAATATGATCCCGCAGGCTGCGTGGCCAAAGAAGAAAGATCCTGTTATGTAAAGTTAACTATTATTAATTCATCTTGTATTACATGATAAGGATATAAGGGAAGAAGACAAAAAGATTCACTTTATACTTACTATATATCTATACAAGTTTGTGTATGAAGATACAAACAGCACAAGATGATGAATTACATGAAAATTACAAGATGATTCATGATAATTACAGGCCTCATTTCTGTAACTGGTCACATAGATGTAGCTGGTCTTTACAACTACTTTCTTCCATTACCCATTCCACACCCTCAGGAAGCACCTCAGCTGGTCATGGTTGCTGGGGTGTCCCAAACCTTCATTCCTGAAGAGTCAGGGCCATTAGTAGTTCTGCCTTAATTGCATTTTCAATCGACTTTAAGGCAGGGTAGCCTTAGGGATCTCCTGTATTCCGCACATCTTCTTCCTTAATTGTATAGTAGCAGCCCGATTTCCTCTTGGTAGTCAGGGTCAGTCACCCCAGCCAATAGGATGACTCCCTTCTCTGCCTGATGACTCGGAGGCTTAAGGAGCCCAAAGTGGCTGGTAGCTGTCTGAACTTCCAGTTCAATGACATCAATGTTGTGTCTCCGGAAAGCACTTCTCCCTGTTGTGGGGTGAATTGCGTCCCCCCAGGTTCACGTCCATGCAGAACCCTGGGATGACCTTATTTGGAAATAGAGTCTTTGCAGATGTAAATCCAATGGCTCAGTAGTTACTCAAAAGGAAAGGGATTATCTGCAGAGGATGGCAGGACTTTGCCCCCAAATCCTAAGGGCCTCCACTGTGATTCATCTGTAGGGACCTGTCGCAAGCTCCAGACAGCATCCCTGCCTGCCCCCGCCTCTTCAAGCACCAGGAGAGCTGCTGGATCCTGTGGCCCAAGTGGCAGAGCAGCACACACAGCAGCCTGGACCTGGTGCAAATCTTTCTCTTGTTCTGGGCCCCACTCAAAATAGGCAGCTTTTCAGGTCACTTGGTAAATGGGTCAGAGTGACACACCCAGAGAGGTCCAATATCCAGAGAGGCCAACTAGGTGTTGTGCCTGGTTTTTTGGCTGCAGGAGGGGCCAGATGCAATAACTTATCCTTCACTGAAAAAACAGATATCTTGACACGCACCCAACCAGTGCATCGCTAGAAATTTCACTGAGATGGAAGGCCCCTGACTTTTGGTGAAATTTATTTCCGACCATCGACAATGCAAATGTCTTACCAGTATATCTATAGTTACTTCTTGTTCTCTAGATGGAATCTGCATATATCATCAATGTTAAACCTGTGGGATATTTTGTGGAAGGGAAAGGTGATCAAGATACCTGCAGACCAAATTATAATGACATCAAGCTGGAGAGCTGATCTACCCGAGGCAGGACAGTGAAGGTGTACTGCTGGTCTGGCCAGCTGAAAGCAAACTGCTTCTGGTCCTTATGGACAGGGATGGAGGGAAATGTATTTGCCAAATCAATAGCTGCAAACCAGGAACCAGGGGATGTGTTAATTTGCTCAAGTAATGAAACCACATCTGGAAGAGCCACCACCTCCAATCATCAGTTTATGATCATCCACTGTCATCTTCCACGATCCGTCTGTCTTCTGCCCAGACAGAACGGGGGTTGAATGGAGATGTGGGAGTCGCCACCCCTGCATCTCTCAAGTCCTTGATGGTGGCGCTGATCTCTGCAGTCCCTCCAGGGATGCGGTATTGCTTTTCATTTACCATTTTCCTAGTAGAGGCAGCCCTCGTGACTTCCACTTGGTTTTCCTACCATAATAGGCCTCACTCCACACGTGAGGGAACCAATGTGGGGATTCTGCCCGTTGCTAAGTACAGGCACACCCCGGAGATACTGCGGGTTTGGTCGCAGTCCACTGCAATAAAGCGAATATCTCAATAAAGTGAGTCGTATGAACTTTTTTTGGTTTCCCAGTGCCTGTAAAAGTTATGTTGACACTATACCATAGTCTATTAAGTGTGGAATAACATTATGTCTAATAGAACAATGTACGTACCTTAATTTAAAAATACTGTATTGCTAAAGAATGCTAATCATCATCTGAGCCTTCAGCGAGTCATCATCTTTTTGCTGGTGGAGGATTTGAAATATTGAGAGATTCACCAAAATCTGACACAGAGACACGAAGTGAGCAAATGCTGCTGGAAGAATGGTCCTGATAGACTTGCTCAGCGCAGGGTTGCCACAAACCTTCAGTCTGCAAAAAAAACACAGTTATCTGCGAAGTACAATAAAGTGAAGCACAGGAAAACAAGATGTGCCTGTGTGTCTATTTCAACTATACATCCTGGAACTGGGGACATAACCACAAGATGGGTTCAGGGACCCACTGGACCTACTGTGAGATGGACCTGACCTCCATAAGTTTCTACTCTTTTTTTTTTTTTTAATTGAGCATTTTTTAAAAAATTTATTTTTGGCTGCCTTGGGTCTTTTTTACTGAGTGCGGGCTTTCTCTAGTTGCGGCGAGCGGGGGCTACTCTTCGTTGAGGTGCGCGTGCTTCTCATTGCGGTGGCTTCTCTTGTTGCGGAGATCGGGCTCTAGGTGGGAGGGCTTCAGTAGTTGTGGCTCGCAGGCCCTAGAGCGCAGGCTCAGTAGTTGTAGTTCACGGGGTTAGTTGCTCCGTGGCATGTGGGATCCTCCTGGACCAGGGCTTGAACCCGTGTCCCCTACATTGGCAGGCAGATTCTCAACGACTGCTCCACCAGGGAAGCCCCATAAGTTTCTACTCTTGACTGGCGGACCACAGTCACGTTTTGGGTCTCCTTGAATTAGTTTTAGTTTAGAGGCTGTGTCCAGCCATCCCCCCAAAGTCTGATTATTTCCTTTTCCCCAATGCACAGTCACCTTGATAAAAAGCTTCAGGTTCCTTTAGGGGAAGGCTGGGCAAAACAGTGTAAATTTTTTCAGTGTTGCAGGGTCTTTCCTCAAGGAGACTTGCCCCCCTTCATTCGAGGGTTTCTGGGTCTGGAAACTGTCTCAAGTCCGGGAACTGATGGAGAAGCTGATTCCGTTTGGGTGATTCAACGGAGATTTCTGTTCACTTCTGCTTACACAGATCAAGAATTCAGTTAGCCTGCCCCCATTTCTTTCTTTCCAAGGGATACCATGATCAACTGGCCAATGCCCTAGGTCTCTGCAAGTCCAACGATTCTATTTCTTTTTAGACTCCGCTGGTACCATAATGGTATCCACAGCCACCTTATCTCTGGTGATTTAAGTTCTACCACTTGGCCCCTGCCACCCAGGAATCCGATTATCCCTATTGCATTTAAGGATCCTAGTTCAGTACCTGTGGTTCCCACTGTAATTTCTGACCTACAGAGAAGAATGACCACAGAGCTTTGCAAACGCTGGGCTCCCCTCACAAATTTATTTCTCAGTCGTGGTGAAAGGTGTGTCTCTGGACCCTCGCAGAGTGGGTGAGCAGGTCTGACATGATAAATCCACTCCGATGGACTTCCCTGGTGGTCCAGTGGGTAAGACGCCGTGCTACCAATGCAGGGGGCCTGGGTTCGATCCCTGGTGGGGGAACTAGATCCCACAGCCATGCCACAAGTAAGAATCCTCATGCTGCAACTAAAAGATCGCGTGTGTTGCAATGAAGATCCCCCATGCCATAACTAAGAACCGGCGCAGCCGAAATAAATATTAAAAAAAAAAAAATCCACTCTAACATTCCAATCTTCCTAAGATTCAGAATACCTTCCGCTACAGTTCCCTAAAGCAATCCTGGCACTTCAACTTCGTTGAGTGTAGGCCACCTGTTAGACTATGTTTCAGCCAACTAAACTATCAGTGTCCTTCCTCACTCTTCATGCTAAAACAGTAAATGCAGAATCTCTGCTTAGTGCATCCACGTTAATAAATTCAGCCTGACCCAACTCAATGTTGCTTCCACCACTAACTCACACCCATTAATATCCATTCCCACGCACCCCCCGAGATCTGTCTGTATAAATTGGAAAAATCATGCAGCTCTTTCAGTGTGTAGCAGAAAGCTGTTCACTCCTTGAGGCCTGCTGGGACTTGAGTCTGGTTATAGGTCTAGAAGCAAAGAGAGGTGGGGTGGGCATAGGTTCTGAGAAGAATCAGCGGCATCTCTCAAGGTAACTACCTCGGGGAGGCCACTACAGTTTCTTCTGACAAAGGGCTAACTTCCTTAGAAATGGGTGAAAGAGCTACTTCTGACAAAGATGACCTGTAATCTCTCCCTCTCAGTCAGGCTATAGATCCGCATGGCTTCTGATCCCCTCCCTGGCCACATAAAGATTATTTATCTCCATTGTTCATTATGGATGTATGCCATCACTTCTCACCATGCATCTGTTTGCTGCTTAGAATGCCAAACAAGGTGTTGATTAATAGTAACAACTGCATTTCCCCAACCGTGGCACACCATTCAGTCATGGGCAGGTTCACAGAACAGAGGGGCCCGCAGACCACACACCCTCCTTCAAAAGTACATCAGCATATTAAAGGCCCCGGGAATCCTGCAGTGAAGAAACCCACCAACTGGAATCAACCTGGTTTCCAAATTTACTTTACCATGGGCTCATTTTCTGGAGTGTTTCTTCTACAGAACTAGGATTCAAGAAAACACACCTTGGAAAATGCAAACTTAAAAAGCTACTATGGCTTGAGCTAACATTTGGAAATTTTTTGGTTTGTGCTTTTAGCTTTCTAATTGCTACTTAACAACAGAGACCCCAGCCAATAATTTCCTAAGTATTAACAGTGATACGTAGTACATCCTTATGCTATATTTAGTAACTGTTGTGGAAGCACTGTTATTTCTGCCATGTCACCCACCCAACAGCGCTCTTAAGCCTTGGCTCTTGTCTGAAGATTCTTCTCTTGTATTAGTGGGGCTTGGGACAATCTGAACCCTTGTCAGCTGTCCTCAGGAGCACCAACCATCCTGGAACTATTTTGGGCTGGTGGAATCTGGAGTTGAATCGATGCAATCTGACACCACAGGGAGAGAGGCCCCACTCCTTCAGAAACAGGAGCTGGGCACTGCCAGCTGCCTGGGGCTCCAGGCCCCTCTTCCAAAGGATGACGCCCCTTGCTCTGCAAAACGATAGGATTTTCCACCCAACAGTTTTAAAAGGCCTTCGTATCAACTCTTAATGACCACTTTCATCAATCCAGCTTCATGGCAGGAGGGAAGTCTCATCTCTGCACTCTTGTTTCTGCTGTGACCCTTCTCTCTCCAGCTCCTCAGGCTTTTTCTGTCACCTACTTCCTCACTTGTAAAACTACAAAACCTCTAGTCTCAAGTCACTTCTTCCTTCAAGCAAACATTGCCTTCGTAACTCATCAATAATCACTGCCTCCTGACTGACCATTCCTCTGTTCTGGAGGTCTGGTGTTATCTGAAACTCTATGCCATTTCACGCCTTACGTAATTATCTTAGTTGGCTTTTTAAAGCACGACCATACATAAAACAGCTTTGTATCTACCCAGCACCTGGCTATGAATTGTTCAGTGAATGTTTATTTGATGTCAATGTGTCCAGTCACAATTCATTCAAATGATCATGACCATGACACAAGAAGCTCATTATACTTTGCCCAAAACAACACTCCCAGGCCTTCAGCATTCTACTTACAGCATCACTCATGTTAAAAATTACACAGGGCTTCCCTGGTGGTGCAGTGGTTGAGAGTCTGCCTGCCGATGCAGTGGACACAGGTTCGTGCCCCGGTCCGGGAAGATCCCACATGCCGCGGAGCGGCTGGGCCCGTGAGCCATGGCTGCTGAGCCTGCGCGTCCGGAGCCTGTGCTCCGCAACGGGAGAGGCCACAACAATGAGAGGCCCGCACACCGCAAAAAAAAAAAAAAAAAAAAAGTACACAGCACTTTGCTTTTCAGATTAGTCTCAAAAATAATACTTAAAAGAAGGATTAAAGTCCAAAAGTAAGCTCAGCATGACACGTGAGCAGGTGAAAGGTACTTAATGCCATTAACTTTAAATCGTGGGAATTTAACTCTGATGGGTTACAACATAAGCTAGTACTGTTTAAATCAGGAAATGGGGGGCAAACACAAGCATAATCTTAGTAAATTAAAACTTTCGTGGCCTTACCCTATCTTCTTCATCAGTACAAACAGTCCTTTAATAAAAAGAAGCACAATATTCAGGTTACTCAAAAATCAGCAACTCAGCTGTTGACCATCCAGGGATGATGGAAACGGAGTAAACTGGTAAGATGACAGGAGTCTCTGCCAGGGTCATTCATAGTAAAACTTTATTGAACAGAAAACCCAGCAAAGGTTTTCACCTCTGCAAAGCTCCTCTTGGTTTAAAGTAAAGCACGCATTTTAAAAAGCAATTATACATAAGTCTTTCCTAGAAAAGTCCTGCTAAAACATGTCTAGCAATTTCATTGATTATATAAAGTAGTACACTTAGTGTAATTTAAACATTCCAACAGGAATCAAATCGTACCAGCAGAACCGTTTCTGCATCTATGACATCTATGTACAAACACACATGCAGACACACACATCTGGAAAAGTTCCTCAGGCATAAACATGCGACACTAATGCCTTCTACTTACAATGTCTATTAAACTACAACAATATATATTAAAGCTCTTCAGAATAAAGATATGAGAAGCCTTAGGCATTTTTTGTTCATCAATTTGTATCATGGCTTCACGTCTTACTTTCTGCCTTTGCAGAATCGCAAAAGCATATCATCCTCTTTGTTGATTCTTTTACTAATTCTGTGCTGTCGCCACATCCAGGTAAGGAAATCTAGCCAGAACCAGATGATCCAGTCCACGCCTGCCAAAGCCTCTAGCAGCCAGAGAGCAAACACCATCAGTTTGCTATGGCTGGGGGACCTTCTGGAAGAAGAGAGGCAAAGAAAGTCTTGAAGACGAGCCAGGCTGTGCTCATAAATGAAGGACTGGTCTGCTCCTCATCCACTACGTCTCTGTCTGGAGGGAGGCGGTTGGGGTCTGCAATTTCAGGATCAGGGTCTTCCTACAGGTAATAAAACACAAGGAGAAAAGAGGACAGTGACAAACACCCAATAATGTCAGTAAAGGGCAGAGTGGCTCCCTGGACCCTTGCCCCATAAGCCAAGCCAGGCAGGCAGGACCCCGGGGACGACACCCCGGCTGGACGGAGCTCCTTCTCCAGCCTCCACAGCACAACTGTGCTGGAACATTCTCATAGTTTTCGATATTCCTGGCAGCAAGTATCAGATCAAATGAAGTACTGTAACTAGATCTTCAACTATTATTAAACTAGTAATTAAGTTAGCCACTTCATTAAATGTGGGTATTTTTCTAATTCTGGCAGTGTCCCGAGTTAAAGAAAACTAAAACTAAAAAAAAAGAAAACACAGGATTCTAAAAACAGATTCGAGGGTGACACTTTACATTAAAAAGAATATCCTTTAGGATTATGCATTAAACTGCCTTATAAAAATTCTATTTCTTTTT